ACACACACACACACACACACACACAGACAGAGACATGAGGGAGTGCATCCAATTTGAGGACCTTCACCCCACTTAGCCTCCATTTGCCACACTTCCCTTTCATCCTGTGGGAGATAAATTAGTTGGCGGCATGAGGGGAGAGTGCTTTCAAGTATTTGGGTCAAAAACAAAACCTGGTGAGGGGGATGAGAGGCAAGCGAGGCAAACAAACAAAACTGCCTTTGCAACACATGGACTTTTCCCCACGTGAATCAATATTCCAGACCTCATCTCCTTTGTGAGCAAAGAGAAGAGCGAGCTGAAAAGACAGATGAGGCCGAAGGAGGAGGGCTGTGGGATGTCCGGTAAAGGATGGGGATTCTCATTGGCGGCTTGGGAAGAGATTGCTTGGAATTTGAGGCAAACCCGTGGAGGGGACACAGAAGAATCCTACAATCGGCAGTCTTCTCAGTCTTAGTCCAGTCACTGTGCGGATTCTGCTCCTATTAACTGAGGTAGGTTGCGTTTGAAAACACAATATGCTTGAACTTTTTAGGACGACTGGTAATTGCATTATTGTCCTACAACTATATTTGTGCTAGTTTTTTTTTTTTGTTTGTTTTCCTAATAGCATAGTCCAAATAACTTGGTCCCGGATCTGCTGTGGAGTATTTGACAGGAAGTTGACTGCATATGTTCTGTTTGTGTACTTTAGTATAACAGCGGAATGATGACCTCCAAGTCGAAGTGGCTGATTGTAGTCCTGCTTCTGCTCAATGAACAAGCACTGTGCAAGGTGCAGCCTTCTCCGCGTGGAATTCTTAGAGCAGGCGGGACGGGCCGAATAGATCCACCAACGCAGCCACAATTTGGTCTCCCCGTTGCAGAAGAGCCAGATTCTGAATCAACTCTTAGACCTGCAGAGAAGCGCCTAAATTCAGCCAAACGTATGGTATCTCTCCTCAAAGCGAAGCTACAAGGCTCGATTCCACATCTCTCCAGTGTGAGGAATATAAGCTGTGGGGAGCTGCTGTCAGCCAGCGGTCTTGATGACCCTTTCTCTTCCAAGTTCCCACAGGAGCTTCTGGGTCTGTCCTTGGTGCCAGTACTGGTGGTGGCTGGCTGCCCGCAGGAGGCGCACACGCTTGTGGTCAAGCTGTATGGCTCGCTGGGCGTGGCCGATACCAACGAACTCCTCCTTGAAGTGGAAGACTTGATCCAGAGGAGAAAGTCACCATCTGAAGCGAAAACATCCACTCAGGAGAGTGACCAAGCAGAGCGCCACCTAGATGCCGTCATGTTTAACATTCAGCAGCTGGCCACGGTGGGAAAGGGTTTAGGACGAGCGAAGCCGATGCAAAATTGCGACGGTTGGACCAGGGTTAATGGAACCATGCTGCTTGGAGTCGTTGTCCAGGATGCTAACAGCGGGCTGGAGAAGGCCATGGACACCTGTGAAAGGATGGGGGTCATGTGCGCCGGGGTCACAAGCGGTGGGCTCCCCGGACGATATCAGGCGGTGTTCAAGAAAGGCAGTCGCATCCTACCCTCGCAAGCCACCGACTGTTGGATCCGTCAGTGTTACGCAGAGCTTTCATCCACCGGCGCCTCTGCTCGACGGCTGCGACGCGGCCTCCGGGGGACGTGCATCAACCAAAATGAGGAGCGCGTGTTCAGAGTGATGGAGTGGATCCCTGCAGTCAGCACCCTCTACAACTTGGGCACGGCTGTTTACTACGCATCGGTCAACTGCTCCGAAACGGCCAAAGAAAGAGCCGTACTCACCGCCGTGGACCTCGGGACAGACGCCCTCATGGTCGCCACGGGTGGCACCGCCGGTGTGGCTGGTTATGCACTCGGTGCCGGTGTCAAGACAGGCGTCAAGGCTGGGGTTAAGTACCTACTAGGCTCCTTGAAGCATGAAGATGATGTGTTGGTCAACCAGTCCAGATGGGAGGAGGGTGTCTTTACTGTACAGTAATCTTAATGAACCACGCCAATCGTCA